CTGGATGCCAAATTCCTAATGCCTCAAATCTTTTTCCTATGGGAGTAAGAGAACAGTAATTCTTCCCCCATGAGCAGACACAGACACGGCAGAGGAGGTCTTTCAGTAGCCGCCTGAATGTGAGGATTATCAGAGGAGTTATAAAGAGATAACGGGAAGTGATCTGCTCCATGGCTGCAGATGGGACAGAGGATACGGGGCCAGTGAGGGAGGCGGTGAGGTGGGAGGAAGTATCCCTGGGACCTGCTGTGGGTGTTGGGAGAGAGTTGTCTCTAAAATGGAGAGGAGCTCAAGGCAGCAGGATGAGGGCTTTAGGAGAAAGGAGAAATTAGATCTAAGTTGGGGGTGAGGTGCAGGGGGCTTGACTGCAAAAAGTTTTCAGGGACAAGAGAATGTGAAAGCTTGAATCAAAACAGCTGAAAGATTGGCTTTAATATCTGCTTAGATTAAAAATAAAAGTCTGTATGGATTAAGAGATAATCCACTAGATAGATTTAATCTGCCACATGTATTACTTCCCCAAAGAAAAGCATTGGGAGGAGAAGGTTGGTTTGCCTCAGTGCCCAGGATTTAAAGGCAGGTGATATATTCTCCTTTCTTCTGCAGGCCCCCTTTTCACTTGTCCCGAAGCATGCATCCTGCCCAAAGGGAGGGGCTGTTGCTGTATGCCTCCTGCTTCTTTGCAACTGCAAAGTCACATTGAATCTAACTGAAGGGGTTTCTCAAGCAGAAAAGAGCACCGAGAGCAACATAACACAGCAATGACTAATAGGATAGGCACGGGGTAGGTTCGGATGCTGATGGTGTTTTTGGCTGTCTGAGCGCAGGGTTCTGAGGGCCATTTTATTAACACTTACCCCTCCTGTCCTGATTGCAATTGCCTTTCAAACAAATGCCACTCAGTAACACACTACCTAAATGGAGGCTGAGGTCTGAATGCTACCTTGCTTCAAACACTTTGCCCCTGAAATCCTTGGCAACAAGTCCTCTCCATCCCTTCATGTTTCCTTTCTGTACAAACACCAGGTTGACTCCTTGGAGTAATTTCAGTTTCCCCAGCAGTAGAAATAAAGTTGCTGGAGGACAATTGAACATGAGGGGGGGGTTTTCCATGTATTTTTCAGTATCAATATGGTATATTGTCTTTTTTAACTAACATATCTTGAACTGTACGTGCATAACAGTCATGCGCTTTTAGGATCCTGTACATGTGATGGAATCATAGAATCGTTTAGGTTGGAAAAGACCTTTAAGATCATCATCAAGTGCAACCGTTAACCTAGCACTGCCAAGTCCACCACTAAGCCATGTCCCTAAGCACCACATCTACTCGTCTTTTAAATACCTCCAGGGATGGCGACTCAACCGCTTCCCTGGCCAGCCTGTTCCAATGCTTGGCAACCCTTTTGGTGAAGAAATTTTTCCTCATGTCCAATCTAAACCTCCCCTGGCGCAACTTGAGGCCATTTCCTCTTGTCCTATTGCTTGTTACTTGGGAGAAGAGACGGACACCCACCTCATTACAACCTCCTTTCAGGTAGTTGTAGCAAGTGATAAGGTCTCCCCTGAGCCTCCCTTTCTCCAGGCTAAACAACCCCAGTTCCCTCAGCTGCTCCTCATAGGACTTGTGCTCTAGACCCTTCACCAGCTTTGTTGCCCTTCTCTGGACGTGCTCCAGCACCTGAGTGTCCTTCTTGTAGTGAGGGGTCCAAAACTGAACACAGGATTCGAGGTGCAGCCTCACCAGTGCCGAGTACAGGGGCACGATCGCTTCCCTACTCCTGCTGGCCACACTATTTCTGATACAATTTTCTGATGGAATTTGGATTAGTTGGATTGAAGGGGTTTAATAATTTTTTTCATAGTCCTCTTGCTCAGCAACAAATAAATTAATTCTGTAGACTGGTGTGTATGCCTTCTGTGTTGTGTGCCTGCATCTGTACCACCTCAGGTGAAAGTTTTTGGCATATTTCCTAAGGTCAGTGGGATTTGGCCTGGTAAATCCTAGAGTAGGAGATCACAGGAGAAAGCATAGAGTGCCTCAGAGAAGAGCCATCATGGTATGAAACACCTGAGCTGGCACTGGACAACTTCCCCAGCTTGTGCTGGGAGCAGGCCATCTGCTTGATACTGTCCTTTTATTGGTGAATGTAATCGCTCTCGGTTATATTTGGTGGGCAGTAGGGATGGATGAAGCTATAGATATCTTCCCTCTTTCCCTTCTGGATGCACCATTACTGTTGCAGCTAGGGGACAGTACTTGCCAGTCATGCTCTGTCTTTAGGGATGCCTCCTTTTCAGAGAGGTTCCAGCAAACCTTAAATGAAAAAAATGTACACAGCACTGTGGACTGAGAGGTGCTATGCTTTCTATTCTTCCCCTGATGCTGTCCATGTGCTACAGGAGGTGTTAGTACTCTAGCACCAAGAAGCACTTTGTAATAGCCAATGCACTGCCTCTGTTTGGTGGGGGCGTAAAAGGAGTTGTGGCACCGTTTCTCTCCTAAACCAGGTGTCTTAGAGGATGAATGTTAGATGTGGAAGTGGTTAAGGGTGAAACATAAGGATAACTGGGATTCCTCAAAAACTCCTTTGCTTCTAAACAGCTAGCGAAAGAGTGAGTGTGGGAAGGGGGAGGAAGAGGTGTTACCTGGTGAAGCAGTGCGGATGACATGGGGCAGGAAAGGGAGTGAGGGAAGCGTTTGACTGCCTCACTCGATCCACTCACACTCATGGAGTGGGAGGGAGGAGAAGGGTTACTGGTTTCCAGGCCTGAGCTTGCGTAACTACTTGCTTAACATTTCCTTCTGGGAGAGGAACATGTGCCTGGTCAGCCCCTGAGAATTGTGTCTGGGAGTCAGCAGGGTACTGGCTAAAAGGCAATCGATCTTGCTTTCATTTAGAGCTTCAGGAAGGCTTTGTTGAGCTCTTCTAGGAGAGGGGTCTGCTCACAGGTGAGAGGGAAAATTGCATCATTGATTTGAGGGAGAGAGGCAAAGCAGAAATAAATGGCCAATTTTTTTCAGCTTTGAAGGAAGTAAAAATAGTCAGATGCCCCCAGGAGCAGGGCTGGAAATAGTGTCAATCAATACAATTATGAAACATCTAGAAAAGAGGTGAACTGTGAGGTGGGAAAATTTGCTGGGGAGAGCAGTTAGGGAAGACGTAGGTCCTTCAGAAGCATCTCACACTTCAGCAAAACAAGGGAATGGGACGGCCCTGTGACACATGAAATTTGCTGCAGACAGGTGCTAGGAAATGCACACTGAAAGGAACAACAGAAACTACTCTGAGAACCTATCAAGTACATAAGTGATGTGGACTTACTCCACTGAGACAGAGGGAGGGTGTGGGAAGGAAATCATGAACAGATTTGTACTTAGTGTTGGTACAAAATACAAGCTGTTAGGCTTTATTTAAAATAAAAGGATGGGGAAAGGGAGAATAATTCTGTGAGGGAGAATCTCATGAGGTTCAGTTTTGCTCATCTCTCACTCCAAAAAGAATAAAGTAGAAACAGGCTGTGTGCTCTCCTGCCATATGCATAAGGAAAGATTTTCATGCCTCCAGAAAGAGGGGAGCATGGCTATAAACAAACAGAAACACTTAAAGCTGTTTAGATAAAGAAGTGGGGGTCTTTCAGAATGATACAAGGTGAATAGGCTGCTTGTACTTGCTGTTTTTTCACTGCCTACGATGGGGGGGCTTTAGCGGAGTCCATTTCTCTACTGTAATAGGGAATGTGCTGCACTGAGTGAAAATACTTGAAAAGACAGGTTTGGTACAATTTGAAAATGAGAATCATGTATCAGTACTGATGTCAGATTTGTTACTAAAAGGAATTATACAGAGTGGGAAAAAAAGCATGGGACCTCTCAGAAGCAAAGAGGGACTTCTGGTGAAATTTAAAGACAATACTTGAGATTGATTTTTACAGGCACAAAATGATCCGACGGAACTCTTTTGTTACAAAACATTGCTGAAGTGGAGCACTATCTCTCCTAATGGGTTGTATAGCCATAAAAATACTCTTTGCTGGTTTCATTAGAGGGGTGAAGATTCAGAACAATTTTCAGCTTTTGAGCTTGAAGCTAGGGAGATCCTGCTAGTTATGCATGAGGAAGGAAGGCCTCTTCTGAGAAGGTGACTCCATAGTTACCTGTAACTGATGCCTGGTTCTGATGTCCCTCCTAGCTTCTGGTTGAGCCTGTGTGACAGTTCTTGCAGCGTGGTAGCGACTGTGCACAGCATGCTGGCAGTTTCCGTCGTGCCCCTGGCTGCAAGGCGTCTGCTATAAGCTTTGTGGGAAAGGAATATGTCCACATGGTGAATGCAGAGGTACTTAACCAGTGACCGCTATCCCCTGCTGCCACAGAGTGCTTTTCACCTCAGTCCCAAAGCGTTTTGATGCTGATCTAGTTATGCAAAAATTATGCAAGTTAGGGTGCTTTATTGCTCCAAATGAGGACCTAATGTTGTTTAACTGATGTGGAAACCAAATCACAAAGCTGCAGAGCAACATGGAAGAAGTTGTGCAACAAATTGCTGGTATAGTAGAGGACAGGATAAGCCTTGTGAGTCCTGAACTCAGCTCATTAGCATGTGTTGCCTTTCATTTTTAACAAGTCATTTTTATTAAAAATATGTTGGCAGTTGATAACTGGCTGTGGCTTTCTTGTCAGCAGTACCTGCAGAGACGCGTAGGGCTTGTGGCACTCTGGTGTCACAAAAAAGCTGCAGTTTTCCATCTTTCTGTGCTGTGCCTCAAACAGCCGCGGGAATGTTGTGCTGTGAGTCACGGACTAGACCTACCTTCATGTCAGAGTACATAAAACTCTCAATGGGACCGAGACAAGTGTATCTCAACCAGCGCTGTTTTGCCCTATGAAACAATCCAGTCCACCGAGATTCACATCCTTCCCTGAGGGCCTGAGCACTGGCTGTTGCCAAAAAATCTCTGGCTCTGGATTCTTCATCTTAAGAAAGGTGTTTGCCTCCTAGGATCTCTCAGCGGGTGGAGGCCAGCCGGGCACAGCTTCAGGCAATTGGTGAGAGAGTCACGCTTGCCCAAGCGAAGATTGAGAAGATAAAGGGCAGCAAGAAGGCTATTAAGGTAGTGACTTCAGTGAAGGCTGCATGGCCTCCCTTCTTCCTTCCACCTTCTCTCTTTACTCCTGATGTAAGCTCTGGAGAAGAACAGGTGCTCGGCTGCTGCCCGCTCACCTCTCCATGCCTTGCTGCTGAGCAGGGTTGTGATGAGAATCCCCTTCCTCACTCAGCCAGTCGATGGTTTTTAGACATGAGCCACACAGCTCCTGGCCTTATGAGGCCTGTATAAGTTGCTGCCCCAGCTTCTCCCTAAGAAAGAGAAAAGGCATGTGCTGAGCTAAGCCCAACACCCTCACACTTCAGGCTCATAGACACTTTGGCTATTTGAATGAAAGCTGCTGTTAGAGAGCCTCCCGTTAGTGCATCTTAATCTTGTTGAGCCATGTAAAACTGGTGAAAACTCTTCTTTCCCTGTTCTTCCTCCATTTAATACAGTGTTTCAAATTCCCTTTCTGCCAGGGGAAGCCTATGATCTCCTAGCACTAGAGAGAAGTTCTGGCACTTTTACTTTCTGAAGTGACAGCCCATGCATGATTGGGTCCATGCAGGTAGCCCTTAGGAGCCTGTTGACTCCAAGGCTGTCCATTCCCACCAGCAGCACAGATTGTGCGCTTACTCCACTCCATGTGTTTCTGTGGTCTAGGATTGCTCAGTTGTTGGGATTTTTCAGTCCCTCCTTGTGTCTCCACAGGTATTTTCCAGTGCCAAGTATCCAGCCCCTGAACGACTGCAGGAGTACAGTTCAATTTTTGCTGGTGCAGAAGACCCAGGTAAACAGAAATGGCCAAGACACAAGATTCAGAGCAAACACCGAGTGCTGGATGAGAAAGCTCTGCAGGTAAGGAGGAGGAGAACAGACCTTGAGATGAACAAGCAAAGAGAAGCTAGGAGGCTGTTAGTCTCTTTTGTGAAGTAGACCAGGGCTTTAGAATATAGGCTGGGAGCAGAACATCTTTTCAGCTTGGCCTGTTGGCGGGGGTGTGTGAGGTTAGGCTGGGAAGCTTGCAGAGCTGCTGGTTTGAGAGGGCCATGTCAGTATAAGACCTTGGCGCGGTGGTCGAGTGCTCTGGGTGGCTGTAGGCTGCCAACTCTCCAGAGCAGTTCCATTTACTGAAACTCTGCTGTTTCCTGCAGCGGTGCTGGTGGGTGCTGCTGGCTGGCCTTAAGGCTTCGGCTGTGCATAGCAAGGCAGCTGGGATCAGGGTCATAATTGTTTGAAAAATAGTTTCTGAAGGCTCTAATATAAGCGACGGTGAGAAGGGAAAGGTAAAAGTGCTCATGAGTGTGTCAGGAGAAAAAGAAGTCATTAGAGCATTTTTCTGTCCCAGGAAAGCAACACACTTGGATATTGTCCCTTCCTGGTTCGCAGCTAAGTTTTACATCTTGGAGGGGAAGATCATTTTGCTTCTTTACATTTTTTGTTTGTGCTTTGCTTCTCCTTTGCCTTGTGTTCAGCTATTGTAGGTTGCAAGCCCTTCAGAGAGGGGCTGAATCTCTCAGTACCCAGCACAGCTGGGGCTTCCAGGTGTGTCCATAGGACAGATGTTTGCAGCTGGTGGTGTTGAAGGAGGTCCTGAAGTATTGAGTTCCTTTTAGCCTGTGGATTGAGTGGCAGAGGGAGGCTTCTTAGGGAGGTCTGAGAAGTGGTGGGTTTGGCAGGAAATGCTACCAAAGGAGTCTCCAACAATTTGGGTCAACATCCCCATGTTGGAAGGAGGGGAGGAAGAGTTGCTGTGTTTGAAGTTTAAAAGGTTCTGTGTATGTGCTGTGCCAGGAGTAGCAGATATACTCTTCCTGATTAGGGATCAACCTGACAACTTCCCTGCTCTCCACCCCTAAAGAGACTTCCTTCCTCATCCTTGTGTGCCTTGGCCCAAAAATAAAACTGCCACTGAATAATTTATCACGCTAAACTTTTCTGAGTTTTAATAGAGTTGAGACCTCACACAGTGAGGTAGTTATGAATATTTCAGCCAGGCCAGGGAAGCAGGGTTGCTGGCCGAATGGACAGCTGGCAAACTCGAGCAGGGTTCGTGCTTCCTTCAAGCTGTGGCAGTAGCGCAGGGCAGAGCTGCGTAGGAGCTGCTGCTGGCCAGCCAGGCTGTCTGCCTGGTGGCCCCATCCCATCAGAGCGTGTGGGGGGAGCAGAGGTGGGCAGTGAGTGGGCAGGGGAGATGCTCTCCCACCCTGAAGGGCTGGTGCCAGCGTACAGCCCCTCGCACAGGGAGGGGATTGAGAAGAGCATCAGCTGGTAAAAAGCAGCGTCCTGCAAAGAGCAAATGGTGTGCCCATCTGACTGGTCTGCTGGCTCCAGTAGGCTCTGCGTGCCCTTCCCTGCTGCCCCTGCCATCTGCCTACGATGCCACCTCTTCCCTGTCCCAGGCGGTCTCTGTACCATTGCCATGTTCTGCCCTGTGTGACCTAGGCTGCCATCACCACAGGGACTTTGTTGCAGGCCCCAGGGGATGTTTGTATTTGTTCCTCCCCTCCTGTGACCCATCTTTCGATCCTCCTTTGGGGTTGTTGATCTTTCTCTGGCTTTGCTGACCCTACCTCATGCAGGGGTCTTGTTACTCTTGCCAAGCTCATGCACGCTAGCTCCTGCAGCTCTTCTGTGGGGCAGGGGGACGCTGCTGTGCTGGCGAGTGGCTGTCAGCTGGTGAATGATGGAGGGGCCTGCGCCAGGAGCAGCTGGTGTGCTGAGCGGGGCTCAGTGCAGCCGAGCTCTGACCATGTTCCAGGGGGACAGGCCCGTCTCGGCCATAGCTGAGCATGGAGCCTCACGTGCCTTGCAGTAATGAAATGTGACAGTGGGAAGTCTAATGGTTGCATTTATGCCCTCCTCAATTATTCAGGGCTTTCAGCAGAGGCTCGCTGCCTGTTTTCACTTCTCATGAGGGCTTCTTTGCTGGGAGCAGTCGCAGTGGCCTTTGCTAACTTCACTTGCACACGCACACACAGCCCCACCAGGAAAGCAAACTCTGCTCGTGTCAGTTTGAGGGTAAGTGGTGGCAGGCTGTGCTCAGTGTTTAGGGTTTCTGCTCTGGGGGGAAAGCAGCTGAGTTGGAAATGTGCATGGTTCTGCACGCACAGAATTTCTTCTGGGAAATTCTCCTTTCCCCCTCCACACCCCAAGCAAGTGAAAACTCAGTTGTTGAGAGGACGCTGTTTAGGTTAATAAGATATGCACTGATGGATAAGAGTGCCAGAAACAGGGTCATTGTAAGCCTGGAAAGCCACTTGTTTTGCATGTTGCTGTGGTAGCAGCTAGGCAGGGTTCAACAGTGAGTCGGCTGCAGCCCTGTAGGGCTTCTCAGGTGCTGGGCACTGCCTTTGTGGTGGGACCTGTGTCCAGGTGATGCAAGTGCCCCTCAGGAGGCTGGAAAACGGGGTGGGAGACATGATCTGCCTGGGCTTGGGAAACAGGTCCAAGCAAAAGTTACAGTCCACCGCTGGAGTAACCTTGCTAGGCTTCAAAAACGTCAGTAACTTGGTATGTCCTTGTGAATTCTGCCCCTCTCGGAGTCCACCATGGGCATGGGGAGGCTAAACCAGGTTTTTGACACTTGCTCATCTTCAAGTGCTTTTCCAGCTAGCCTCAACACTCCATTGGCAAGGGGGGAATGGGGTTTCTGGTGTATCACACCAATTCCTTTTGCAATAGGTATGTAGTGTGTGCTTAATTAAATTTAAGAACCAGGGTGACTTTATATATTTTTAACTGTAGGCTTTTAGGAAGAAAAATGCCTGGAAATGCAGCATCCTTAGGGGTGTGATCCTGTCAGGTGCCAAACCCCAGGTTGGGGTGTTTGAGCATTCAGGTGCCCCCCATATGACTTCAGTATGTCGAGGTTGCTGAACCTTTGGCTTAAGCCCTTAATGTCCCTATAAGAAAACTAATTTTTGAATGGCATCTTACCTTGTGGAATTCACAGTTGCAGGATATTATTGACGGTATGTAGCTGTTCTAAATTTCAAAACAGGTCTAGGTACTTGAATAAGACTAGCACTTTGGTGGCATTTAAATTAAAAGGATTATGTAGAGCCTCACATTTCAGAGTAATACTCATGCTTAGTGCTTTTATAACAGCCGTAGATGAGACTTATAAGTAAATGTAGGTAATGGTTGGTTTCTCACTACGCCCTTAAAGTGACACACAGTCTTCCAGTGCTAATTGAAATCTACAAAGAGAGAATTAAAAAAATATATATATGACTTGAGGGCTAAGTGTGTGAACAGGTCTAGCAAAAACGTCAGTACTCCCTCATGCTTAAAAAATTAAACATTAGGAAATGAATATTAATGATCAAAAGAACCTTTATTTTCGAATCTCTGCTTCTACAGTCTCTAAATAACAATTTATATATTTTTGCCTACTTGCTTCTGTAAAAATTCAAGATGTTTATTTCAGTGTATTTTTCACAAGTTGGAACGTGTTATTTGGGGGGAAAAAATTAAATCAAAACCTCCCAGGTCTTTTCTTACAGCGTTTTATAGACTCAGAGCATCATACAAACTCTGAGTGGATTAACTGAGCTGTGACTAAACCATTTCCCAGGATTGCTGGCTACCAAATTCAAGCCTGAAATTTCAATCAGCAGAAACTGCTTATGTTGCTGAGATGTGGTCTTAAAACTGAACCAATGGTGGTCTCCGTTTCCCCCATACAAGTACAAGGAGGGAAGAAGGACTCAGAGAATGGGATAGAGCAGGGATGCTGGAAGTAGTGAGGCAGTAGGAAGCTGTGGACAGTATTTGAAGTGGTCATCTTCTGGTGACAGAAGAAAACCTCAAGTGTGGCCAATTATTTAACCTGACAAACTGTCCTGGTTAGTGCTCTGGTTTCTTCTGGTATAAACACTTACCACAGCTGCCAGGCTGCTGCTTGTCCTAGTTTGTGAAGAAGGAACAGGAGTTGTGAAGGGGCTGAGGAAGGGTGTGGGGAGGGGTCTGGGCTGGAGGTTCATCCATCCCGGGCTGCCTCTGCGCTCACAGACTGATGCCTTTCCTCCCTCTACAGCAAAGCTTGCTGTGGGCACTGAGCTTCATCCCCCAGAGCATCTGGCAGCGGGCGCTGTCACGCTAGCCGAAACACTGGTCTGATCTGGGATGGCAATTCCTGTGCTCTACAAAAGTCAAGTAGTTCAGATGTAATAAGTCCTTTTCTAAAGGGAGCTCTATATATTATGCATGAAGTTTTAGAACCGAGAGAGAGGAGATTTCAGTTCATTAGAGTTGAAAACTCCTGCAAATCCCTCAGGCTTTGCAAAACCATCTGGCACACATTCAACCCTGCGCACTCCCTTCTGCCTGATCTCTTGCCTAGTGCAGGCACTCTGTTTTTTCCTAACCTCTTTTTCCTTTGCCTTCCCTGCATACCCCACCGGTGGGATCACATCACTTAAAACATCAACTGAAGGCAGCAGAGGGGAGGTAATAGAGATGTTTGGGGGACTCTGCCTGCATGAAAATGTCTAGTAGTTGGAGACACAGTAACAACTGCCTTTTTGACTGTGGTGCTTCATCCCTGCCTCTGGCTATAGAGCACAAGTGGTTGTTTTATTCTGGTGGATCCTTGCCACAGCATCACCTGTTCAATATGACCCATCTGTGGCACCAAAAGCACATGCTGTGAGTCTGAACTGCTGAGATTTGTCCTGAGTGTGGGGTTGCAATGTCGTGCATGTGCTTCCTTGCTCAAAGGCAGGTAGAGAGGGAGAGGTAGGGTTCCCAGACCATGCAGTGGATCCAGCAGTGTGGGTTGTGGTGGCTGGGGAGAGCTGTTTCAGCAGCTGTGATTTTAGTGTGTTGCTACCTGTTATTTGTCTTCTTGCAGGAGAAGCTCAAGTATTTCCCTGTGTGCGTGAGCACCAAAATTCACCAGGAGGATGATGCAGAAGAAGGCCTTGGCAGCCTCCCCAGGAACATCAGCTCCCTCAGCTCCCTGCTGCTATTCAACACCACTGAGAACCTGTGAGAGCTGGAGCAGCACCCTGCTGCTCACCTGCCCCTGCTTGTCCTCAGAGTAGCTCCCCCTGCCCCAGGGGCAGCAGTGGCTGCTTGCTTTCCTGGGGGTCTTGCATATCAGGCTCTGTAGGACAGGGTTTGGCACCTCTCCACTGGCTTCCAGCTAGCAACCCTTTCTTCCTCACTCTTCCCCTTGGGTGGAAGGAGTTGTTTGGTCTGCACCTGATCCTCCACTCATCTGCTTTCAACCCAACTTTGCACTTCCCTTCCCTGTTTTTCCTGTCGTACCCCTGCAATAATTTCTCTCTGGCCTTGAAAGCTGCTGTCACTCCTGCCCTTCTCTGCTATATGTGCCTGCCTAGGTTCTGCTCCTTCTCCTGATGGTTCCTTGCAGCAACACTTTCCGCTGTTGCTGCTTTAATGTCTCCACTGCCTTTCACTGCAGTTCCCTTTCCCGTTGGGCTTTGCCGCATGGTTCCTCCTCCTGCCCATACTGAAGAGCTTCTTTAAGCCCTTCTTGAGCTTTCAGCTGCTGAACCTCCTCTTTCTTTCCCTGAGCCACAGATTATTTCCCCTCTTTATCTTTCCTCCTGCCCCTTGAGTGACGAGTCACCAGGAGAGACTGGTGTCCTGCTGTAGGACAGTCTCAGGCCAGGCAGTGGGAGGGGGAGAGCTTGGGTAATGATGGCAGTGCAGTTGGGCTTTGCTTGAGGATGAATGTGGAGGCTGCGCTGGCAGGGTGGGGAGCTGATCGCCTCCTGGTTGTGGAGGGGTGAGGCAAGAAAATGGGGCTAGAAGAAGGAAACTGGACAGCCCAACGTGTGTTCCACCTGCGTGAGTGAGTCGGGAGGTCTCCACCTCCAAGGCCTTCTTGGGTATGCTGTTTCTTCTGGCCTTGGCTCTCAAGGCAATATCACCAAAATACTTGTCCTCTACCCTTAGGTACAAGAAGTATGTTTTCCTGGATCCTCTGGCTGGAGCAGTGACCAAGACCCATGTGGCTCTGGAAACAGAGACAGAAGAGAAGCTCTTCGATGCTCCTCTCTCCATCACCAAAAGGGGACAGCTGGACCGACAGGTGAGATGCAGCTGTGGGGATGCAGCTGCTTCCCCTTCAGACGATTGTGCTCAGCTCTCTGAGAGGAGAGGGCTTCTGTAGGGTGGAGAGCAGGTAGGAGAATGGCCCCTCATGGGGCTGCAGAGTATCTCACTTATCAGAAGAACCTTGACCGTTTCTGTGCTTGAAGTCCTGGTGTGAGCTTGATGGGTGAGACAAAACCCTCAAACTTGGCAGGTGTTTCTCTCTGCTCAAGCCTTTGCTGAGTGGTGTGAGAAGAGTAATGTAATATCGATTCACCTTGCTGCTATACCTCAGGGCTGTAGAGGAGTTTGGAGGCTCCATCACTTGATCATCCTCCTTGTGCTAACTCCTGAGTCTCGTGAGAAGTCTGAGGGTGAGGTGCCATGGCTGAAAGGTGCCTGGGAGGAGGTCTGATCCCCATCATTCCTGCTGGGAAGGAGTGCCTGCTGGCGCAAACAGAAGGGCCAGCCAGCCTGAGCAAAGGGTTTGTGCTCAGTGTGGGCATGAGGTAGGCAGTGCACCAACTCAGCTGCCCTGACACGTGACTGACCTTGAACCCAACACCTTGTAGTGGCCGTAGCTGGAGCTTTGCTGGTGCGTGGTTGAGTGTGTGTTTTGGGGCTAGGGAAAGGAGCCTGGGAGCCATTTGCTCATCATGTTAGACCGGAGGAGACAGCAGTGTGTATAGCAAACAAAACCCTTTATTCACAGCACACATTTCGTTCTCTTTTGCCTGTGTATTGAACACAAAACCAAACCTCTGTAACTACTTGGTTGTGCTTCTCCTGCATCTTAATCTCAGAAACGGTTCAGGCACCATTCTCTTCTGGAGGAGAAGGGACAGGCTTATGTAGGCTGCAAAAGTCGGTGCATGAAACCTTCAGAGGAGGAGAGAGCCCACTTGCAAGAAACTAGGAAGAGTCCTGCACCTCTTCCTCCTCCTGCAGCCTGCCTTTTCCAAGCCTGGTCTGCAGGGGGTAGCCTCTGAGCACGGGGAGCTGCCACAGGACAAGAGCACGGAGTTGTAAGGGTAGCTGATGAGTGGCCACTGTACCAAGCACACAAGCCCAGCTCTGACTGCCGCCCAGGCTGTTCCCTGCAGTGCCCGTTTGCTGCAAGGGAAAGCAAGTGCGTAGTCACTGCCTCACTGCCTTATCTTTTTGTTTTGGGTTTCTTTTAGGTAGCTGAAAATTACTTCTACGTGCCAGATCTGGGCCAGGTCCCTGAGATTGATGTGCCGTCCTACCTGCCAGACCTGCCTGGCATTGCTGCAGATCTCATGTACAGTGCTGATCTGGGCCCCGGCATCGCACCATCTGCCCCTAGCAGTGCTATTCCAGAGCTGCCCACTTTCAACACTGAGTCAGTGGAGCCTTTGCAACCAGGTATTTCCAATCCCTGCTCCCACGACCTTGTGAAGGAGGAAGGCAGGGATTGCTAGAAGATGGAGACAAGGCAGAAAGTCCCTTGGTGGAGATTTCAAGATGGATGTTGGAGATACCTCTGGCTTGTGCTTGGGCCTGAGGCAAAGCTGCAGCTTGCTCAAGTGCTGGCCAGACTCCGGGCCCCTCACCTCCCTCACCCTCTGCACGGCTAGGGAGGAGGGGGCATGGTGTGCAGGGACTGGCCTCGTGGCAGGATGCCCTTGGGTGAGCGGGGTGCAGCTGGGGAGGGCAGAGTAGGGGAACCTCCAACTCTGCCTTGGCCCTGCCTGCTGTTAAGAGATGCTGCACAGGGTGGGAGTGCTCTGCTGCATGGTGCCTGCTGAGGACTCTGATCTGTTGCCACTGGGGCATGCAAAGCTCTGAGCTGAAGCTCTCAGTGTGCTGTCCTCTGGGGCACTTCAGATGCAACTTCTTTCATCTTTCAGACCTTCAAGATGCTGAGCTATTGCCGCCTCCTCCCCCACCACCTCCCCCACCACCTCCTGTTATGCCAACTACTGTGCCTCCTCCGCCACCCCTGCCCCAGCCCACAGCACCCTCTGAGCCAGCCCGGACAGCAAGCGAGGAGAGCAGCAATGCGGTGCCCGCAGGTAAGGGCTGGGCATCTCCACAGCTTCAGCAGAATCTTACTCTGACTCCATGGCTTCAGCCTGTGTCCTTGGTTGGTTCCCTACGGCTTCCCAGCCTTCTGGCAGAGGAGGGAAGCTGTGGTGGGAGGGGAAGCGGCTCCTGCCTGTCTGGGAGGAGTAAGCCTTCAGTTCCCCCTTGGCGGGGCTCCTGCTGGCTGGGCTGAGCGTAAGTCCGTTACTGAGAGGTGTCTGGGCTGGGGCTCACAGCCCCAGGCAGAAGCTGGCAGGGTATCAGAGCAGACCTTTCCATGGGGATTTGGCTGGGCCTGTAGCTGGTGCACTGACCCACAGCTGCTGCCTGTCATTCCTGTCCCTGCAGCTTCGGTCCAGGGAGCCCCGAAGGAGGTGGTGAACCCCTCTACTGGGCGTGCCAGTCTCCTGGAGTCCATCCGCCAGGCCGGTGGCATCGGGAAGGCCAACCTCCGCAGTGTCAAGGAGAGGAAGCTGGAGAAGAAGAAGCAGAAGGAACAAGAGCAAGGTGCTGAGGCTCTTTGGCAGAACTGATCTTCCTTGCTCTCTGCCCCAGGCTGGGGAGGTGTAGGTCTGAGGGGAGACGGGCAAGCCAGGGACACAGTGAACATACAGAGCGGAAAGGGTGTTGTTTCTCCTCACAGGCTGGTGTAGGTCTCAGGTGTTTCCCATTCAGCCAAAGCTCTGTGAACTTGCTAAACCCCATCTGCCAGAAAGGCATTTGTGTTTTGATGGAGACCCGCTCTGTCTCAGGGCACGCGTAGAAGTTTCACGCGTGCTGCATGGGGGCAGACACACACAAAGGAAACCCTGGGGCCAAGAGGGGCAGGGCCGAGCCGGTTTGAGCATGTTGGTTTAGGTAGCTGGGGAGGGTATTGATGGAGCTGGTTTGGCAGAATGAGACGGCAAATGCCCCTCAAAGAATTCCACTCTTGGGTTTCCCCAGAAGATGCCGTTACCCTGCGGTGCCTGGTGTTTTCCTGACCTGAAACTGGAGTACAGTGGGAGAGATTAGGGGTGTGATACAAGATTAGAGGGTGGGGTTTTTTTTCTTTAATCTGAAGGCAGTATTGCAGGCGAATCGCTGTAGTGCTCGGTTCAGACTGACGCTTCTTCTTGTCTGACTTGTTTTGCTCTGTTTCAGTGAGAGCAACAGGACAAGGTGGAGATTTGATGTCAGACCTCTTCAACAAACTGGTGCTGAGGCGCAAAGGTACTGTCCTGCAGGGTGGGCTGCTCCTTCCCCCTAGGAAAGAGGGAGAGCCCTTTCTGGCACCTCAGTTGTGTCAACCACAGCCCTAGAAACAGGAATAGAGACACTTTCCCTAGCAAGTGTGCCACAGCATGGCACATCTTTACAGAGGGTGAGCAGGGGAATGAACAGGAATAGAAACACTTTCCCTAGCAAGTGTGCCACATCTTTACAGAGGGTGAGCAGGGGAATCTCCACCTCAAGTCCAGCTGGAGGCACTGGAGGAGGTTGTGTCCCCAAGGCAGAGGACAGGCTCTGAAAGCTACCTGTGACTTTCAGGGTCACAGGGACAGCGGTGTCTTTTTTTAATTCATGCTGGGGCAGCTGGGCCCCTCACCCTTGGAGGCACCTGAGTTGCCCCAAGGCCTTGGCAGGTACCCAGAGCATTTAGGGCCAGTGTCACCCCTCGGTGCCTGGCACAGGGCAGAGGGCATGGACTTGCTCAGGTGGAGCTTTATTTAAATGAGCCCTTGTGCAGGGCTGTGGCAGCATTTAAGCCTGTTGGCTGTTCTGCTTGCCCGATTCACCTGGGTGCTGGTGGGAGCTGTGGTATGAGGTGTGTTTTTCCTCTCCCCTTTGCTGAGCCTCCATGTTCTCTAGTCCCCAGGTGTCATCACTGGTGCTTTTCCTTCCCTCACAGGTATTTCAGGGAAAGGGCCGGGAGCCTCCGGAAATCCCGATGCTCCTGGAAGTCCTGCTGGTGCCTTTGCTCGTATGTCGGACTCAATACCACCCCTCCCACCGCCACAGCAGCCCACGGGTGAGGAGGATGAGGATGACTGGGAGTCATAGATGGGGTCAGTTGTGCATCAGTGTGAATCCCAGGACTCTTGAACTAAGCACCTTTGAGATACACCAGCCTGTGGAAGTACCTCCTGGAGGGTGGGCACTGGCATGGCAGGGGGACCCTGACGTTTCTTCTTGAAGAAAGCGGGAGCAACAGGAGCTAACCGCTGCTGAGGTTATAGTTACCAGTGAGGGTTTTTCTTCTGCTGTCTGCTATTCTCCACCCCAAATACTACATTCCATCTCAAATGCTGCTGCTGTGACTGGTGACGACTGCAAAAGCCTCTCTTGCAGGCAAACAGCCCTTGCCTCATTTGTCTCCTTGCGGCTTGCTTGCTGAAGCTCCTGTTTGCTTGGTTGTTGCTAGAAGAGAGAATGAGAGCGTGTGTGTCCCTTCATGGAGGTTTAATTCCTGGTGCCTCTGCACGCAGTGGTTTCTTTCTCTACCCGGCTTATGGTAATTCTTTGCCTGTTGCTGCCTGAAAAATGTCAATAAAGTTGAAGGAAGCAGGTCCTTGCAGCCTTTGCTCTGGGAAAAGAGGGAAACATGCTCAATTAAGAGTGTCTTAAGGGAAAGCCCAGCTGTCCACTCTCATCTCAGGCAGGGGCTAGCTTTACAACCCAGCACCACCAACCACAGGGCTGGAGGGTACCAGCTGTTAGAAGCAGGCACCCCCCACTCCCGCTGCTGCTTTCACTGGGGTTAAGGCAGAGCTTGTGCCAGACGGGGGGGCTCTGCACCCACTGAAGGGGTAGGAAACTCACCGCAGAAGTTTCTCAGAAGCAGCTGTTTCTTTCCCTGTGGGGCTAATTAACATATAGGGAGTGGGTACCAGCTCTGTGTCTAATTATAAGTAAGTGCTTTCTTCATTGTGAAGAGCCTCGAGAGGTAGCATCCAGCTGCTGAAACTGGCAAGGAGGCAAAAGAAGCTCCTGGGAAGAGACTTGCTCATGATGACAGAAAGAGCTGGGGACAGCTGTGGGATTACATAGCTGTCCCTGTTACCGCTGCCCTCCAGCACTGACCCATGACCTAGGAAAGAACCCCAGCAAGGTTACACCAAAAAAAAAAAAAAAAGTTTTACCATTTTCCACAGAAAGTTACTTTGAATTCAAAAACCTAGTAGTAAAAAGAGCAGAGCAATCCTGTGCTTAAGCATGATCAAAGGAGAAGTGCTGTGCTGTATTATGGCTATATCTTTACTCGCCTTGAAAGAATGAACCACTCCTTGAATCTACAGACTGCTTGAAGCAAGGTAGAAAGAAGGGGATAGAAATGTTTTACCATTTTCCACATAAAGTTACTTTGAATTCAAAAACCTAGTAGTAAAAAGAGCAGAGCAATCCTGTGCTTAAGCATGATCAAAGGAGAAGTGCTGTGCTGTATTATGGCTATATCTTTACTCGCCTTGAAAGAATGAACCACTCCTTGAATCTACAGACTGCTTGAAGCAAGGTAGAAAGAAGGGGATAGAAATGTTACGCATAGCTGCCCCATGTCTTACCAGTCTGACTGTGTAATTCCAACATGACACAAACTAATGGCCTGATAGTTTACAATTCTTGTGAAAAGCTCTATGTTTTCATTGGTCATCAAGCATCCTACACTTGGTGGTTGATGGGAAAAGGTAGATGTGTTCAGTCAAAATAATTATACTCCCCATACTTAAGTGTTTGGGTTGAAAATATTTAATCAATTTAAATAAAACCTTAACAGCTGTAAATAAATAGGAGCCTGCCGCTACTACCTTCACCTGCCTCAGACCTACAACCACTTTCCCTCCTGGTTATGGTGCTGAAGGCTGTCCCACCATCATAGTGCTCAGATACTGAACAGCAAACATCCACAAAGGAGGCAGAAGGCAGAGATTCACAAACTAACTCCTTGGTACAGAAAAGCAGGAACCTGTGTTTCTTCAGGTGTTCTTCAGCGGTGTAACGCAGAGCTGACCTACAGCCTGTTCTCTGGTCCGCATCGCAAAGCGCCTGACTTCCCTCGATGGAACTAGGAACACACAAAACCAGACAGTTTGTCCCTGGCCTTACTCTGAAGTGAAGGTTTGAGAAAAGTACAGATGAGTACAGTGGTAAACAGTTTTGGTAACCGTACATAAGATACAAGTTCTGACCTTTCTTAACTCTGCAAACGCTGCTCCAAAGGCAGGTTTCACCTGGGTTCTCTCCCTGATCCACTGTGGCAGTTTGTTAAAGATGGCAGGGCGTGCGTACCTGTGGTCCAGGAGCAGGATGCTTGCAAAGTCCTTCTGATGGCGAATGGCTCTGCCTGTACAGAGTGTAGAACCACGTTAAAATGGCCCACTCAAGTGTTCATTCTCAGGCAAGGAAGCTCATGTTCCCTGTTCATGTTCATCTGTACTTAGACTGATTGGTAATGCATCCTTTTCCCCACCCTCTTAGTTCAGCAAGTGTTCGTTCTCAGGCAAGGAAGCTCATGTTCATCTGTACTTAGACTGATTGGTAATGCATCCTTTTCCCCACCCTCTTAGTTCAGTGCAGTCACATTTTGTATCCCCCAGCCTGTCCAAGGAAGGATGAATTACCTATTGACTGGTTTACTGCCTTCATGCACAGGTTTTCAATCAGCACTCTGCTAGGTGCCTGGCCAGCAGGTCTGGGCTGGAAAGGGAGAAATAGGTAAGACTGAACATGAGGTAGATGTAAATCAAACTAGGGAGTCTTAATGACAAAGCGAGGCAAATGCTTTTACCCCTGCAGAGTGCATGGGTAGCCAAGCAGACCCCAAGCTGAGAGTAAGCAGGAACAGAAGAAAGGTTGCTGTCAGAAAACTATGTTGAACATTCACAAAGAGCCAGCCCAAGCCCCCCTGAAGGCAGAAAACTTGTCCCCAGCTGCCCAGGAACAGCATCTCCAGTGGGCAGTGAGAAAGAACAAGTGAGCCAAGAGAAGTGATCCTAGCAAGCAGCTCCTACCACCCTGCCACCTCCTCTGGGGTGAAGAGACCTTGATCCCCGTGCAACTCAGTGTTCCCAGGGAGCCCCAGTGGTGCTTCCCTCCACTGAGCTTCCTCCCTGTGTTTAGGGCCACCTGTACACAGGCAGCACGGAGAAGCTGTGCTCTCGGTATCACACAGTCTGGGAAACAAGGGCAAGCTCAAAGAAAAAAAAAATCTTTGAAAGCAGCTCTGGGACTCATGTGCTGGGAGGAAAGTTAATACTAAAAAGCCAAAGTGAAAGAGGCAGAGGTGTAAGTGTCTCTGTTACCATTGTTTTGTCAAGCCAAGTCATTTTTTCCTGGAGCTCTGGAGATTTAATGTTGGGGTAAGGCATTCCCACCATAATCACACACCTGCAAGGGGCAAGGGAGGACTGCATTATTCTTATTGTCTCATCCTAGAGCACTTTGCCAATAGACTGATAAATTAGAGGTCACCGCACCCCTGAAAGACAGCCAGCCCTGAAAACCAAAGGCGGCAATAAAGCACAGCAGTCTGATAAGCACGTTATGAACGGAAAGCTGCAGAGGGATTCAGGGTGCCAGAACGAGGGATTATCTAGCACAGCAAGCCTAACTGCATTACTCACACGAAAAGTACTCTGGACAGGCGGGTTTTGCGCCACCCCGCAGACTTGGTCCCATTGGTTTAAGCGTCAGCCCAAGCCATGTGCTCCCCAGGATTTTCTATCTATGCAAGTACTGATGTGTCCACCCTGCTTGGAGTCACCACACCACGAGCCCAGCGCTCTCCTTCCAAGGAGCAGCCTCCTTACCTTCCCAGGTCATCAGAGAAGTTGATCCCTTCGCTCATTTTGCCTCCAACTACAGAAAGCAGCAGTGCCCCCGTCATCTGTCCTCCTGCCTGGCTGCAGCGCTGCAGGAGAGGGAGCAGCAACTTAAACCAGAGTAGGGAAGATTTCTGTGCTTCAGAAACACTCCCACACCTGGGCTAGAGTCCTCTTTCCTTGGTAAAAGCTGCAATGCTCTCTTTAGCAGCACTCCCATAGGCAGTTGGGATGCCACACTCCCACCAGCCTGCCAGCTCAGCTTACCTTTATGCACTTGGCATATTCCACCAGCACCTGCTCCACCTGGTTGGCTTTCTTAGGCTCCTGAAAGACCTGTCACAGGCACAGTACGTCAGTTGCAGCAACAGGAAGCAGTTTAAAGAAAGCAAATCATTTTACTCCCGTGCCATTAAACAGCACATGGAACTAAGATCGGGGAAGGGCAAATTGCCCGAAAAACCAGCACCTTTCCCCTCCACCCTGGAAAAGCACGGCTTGCTCGCTACAGCACTTTTCAACTGGGCTCTGAAGGGAGCAGCAGCTGCTCCTGCCCTTCCAACACTCCCTTTCAGCTTTGGCAGGCTTGTCTAATTCTGCAAGAAGTTAAAAGTCATCCGAGAGCTGAAAGGCAGGAAAGCAATGTGCACCTCTTCCATCTACAAATAAAGATCCAGCGGGGTGAGGAGACCCTCCAGCTGCAAGATCTTGGAGGACAGTGACAGGACCAATCAATTCAAATCACCAATTCCAAGTAATAGCTCCCCTTGCCCAGCGAATAACTTATATGAGGACAGTGAGGACCAATCAATTCAAATCACCAATTAATTCCAAGTAATAGCTCCCCTTGCCCAGCGAATAACTTATATTACTTTATGTATGCTTTGCATAGAAAACTTTCTTTATGTTATTCTAGCATGCCTAATTAGTCACTGAAAGCCCCTGAAGTTAATTGAGCTGCATTTTGATAGATGTTGCACCTTGGCCTAAATCACAAGTTGTTTTCCTAGTAAACAAGAGGTGCAACAGCTGTGTCTTCTGTGACAGTAAAGAACCTAAAGGATGTGTTTTCTCTTGGTTAGCAAGAAGTACTATCAAATTTTACCAGCCAGAATCAGTCTTTCAGAAGAAAAATAACTGGCAATTACAAATATAAGCCAAGACTATTTAACTTAAACAGTAGCTATTTAATCCTCTGATTTAAATTAATTTTCCCTGTGTAACTGATGTATAATCTCAGTGTGATGTCACCACAACCACCTCAGGAAAGACTTTAACCTTCCTCTGCTATGATATGATCTTGTGTGTGGGCAGCTGAAAGTCACACTTGCTGCACTTCTACCAAATTGCTTTGCTAATGCATATGCAATTTGCTGGAGACTGCAAAGGCCAAACAAGAACAAATCAGAGTTGAAAGGTAGAGCAAGCTGAGTGATTGTGGCACAATGCCTTGGAGGCACCAGGCAGACCGCTGGGACCCTGACAGAACACACCTGAAAGGCACTATGAGTGACAGCTGTACAAACACACGGAGAAGCCGAAGCATAGTGCTTCCACCACAAAAACTTACAGGCAGAGCCACGTGCCAGAATGCCCGCACCAAGGCTGTGAAATACCTGGGACTGTGCTCTCCTAATCCACGTGGTAAGTTATTTAGCTTTTAATAAACAGAAGTCACAGCTAGCGTATATGTCGTTCTTTCCCCCGCTCCCCTGGCACACGATCCAAGACCCCTGCCCCACACCCTGA